ATAGCTTCTCCAAATATCAAAGGCTGCAATGCTTATTTCTCAGTGTTAGACTAAAAATTGGCAAGTCTTCTTTCTCTCTCTCTCTTTTTTTTTTTTTTTTTTTTTTTTTTTTTTTTTTTGTATTTGCTATGATGAAATAACTAAGTTCATAATTCTTGATACAGGAGCAAAGATTGGTGTTTGTTATGGAACACTTGGAGACAACTTACCTTCCGCACAAGAAGTAATCTCTATGTACAACCAATATAGCATCCAAAAAATGAGGCTCTATGATCCTAACCCACAGGCTCTTCAAGCCCTTAAAGGCTCCAACATTGAGCTCATGCTCGATGTACCCAACGAAGGCCTTAAAGACATCTCTTCTAGCCAAGCCAGTGCAGATTCTTGGATCCAAAGTAATGTCATAACCTACGGAAATGTCAATTTCAAATACATCGTGGTTGGGAACGAAATAGATCCCAAAGGTCCATTCGCTCCGTTTGTTGCTTCTGCAATGGAAAATATTCAAAAAGCAGTTTCTGCCGCCGGTCTTGCAACCCAAATTAAAGTCTCCACCGCGGTTTACACCGCGATTCTCAACGAATCCTACCCGCCGTCAAAAGCCTTCTTCAACCCTGAATATCGACAGTTGTGGTACAGGATGGTCAGCTTGGATATCAAAATCTGTTTGATGCAATTTTGGATGCAGTTTATGAAGCATTAGAGAAAGCCGGAGGCGGTTCTTTGAAACTTGTCGTATCGGAAAGTGGTTGGCCCTCGGCAGGTGGCGATGGCGAAGTGACCACAAAAGAGAACGCGAGAACTTACAACTCAAATTTGGTTAAGCATGTGAAGGGCGGGACTCCAAAGAGACCTGGAAGCCCTGTAGAGACTTATATCTTTGCCATGTTTAATGAGGATAACAAAACAGGGCCGGAGATTGAGAAACACTGGGGACTCTTTTTCCCCGACAAAACTCCGAAATATTCCATTGATTTCAATTAAGAATGTGAACTCAGTGTATCCTGAGATCAAGGGAGCTTTCGTATGCAATTTAACCATAATTAAAGATTACTTGCAGCCCTAGTAAAGGCAACCGCAAGACTTTATGTACCTGTCTAAAAATAAATGTCAATACGATGGCATGTTGTAAGGATAGCCGTTTTACCATATTTGATTACTTTTTATACCACAAGTTTACATATTACAGTATTTTATCTTAAACGGGTTTGAATTCGGAATCTTTCACTACTACATTTTAGTCTTTGCGCGACGAAAGGGTTTTCGTCGCGCAAAAACGATTTTAGTCGCACATCATTATGCGCGACAGAATATTCGTCGCGCACAATCCGTCGCGCAAAGGTCGTGAAGAAAGGATTTGCGCGACGAACAAATGTCATTCGTCGCGCAGTTTGCGCTACGTATAACATCTTCGTTTCAAAAAACATTTTGGGACGACCTCATTGTCCATCGCACAAATATTTGCGCGACGAACCAGATGTCGTCGCAAAAAAAACTGCGCGACAGAATTGTCCGTCGCGCGAACTACATGAACCTTGCGCGACGACATCTTATTCGTCGCGCATACACATCTTGCGCGACGAAATTACTCGTCGCGCAATATTAAGATATATTTAAATGTTTTTGCGCGACGATTTACGTTTCGTCGCGCAAAAGCAATATATTATTAAAAAAAATTTATTATTATTTGATTTTTAATTTTGTAAAAAAATAAATGTTGTTTTTTTTAAAAATTAAAATGAAATTACAATTAAAAAAATTAATCGTAAAGAAAACATCTATTATATAAAATAAAATAAATGTATACAAATTGTAAAATAAATTATAAAAATAACAAACTAATCAAATAATGTTCCGAAATCTAATTGGTCATCTGCCACATGCGGCTCGGAGGTATGCGGCTCGGAGGTATGGGCGTCTGCAGGGGCCGTGGTGTGCTGGGGATGCTCGGGCTGGACGGGCTCGGAGGTCGACGCACCAAAATTCGGGATTGGAATCCCGGACCGCGCGAGCGACTGCAGAATCACCGACATCTGACCCTCAAGCTCGGCAACCCGCGATGTCAAAACAGTCACCTGACTGTTTGCCTGCGACGATGACCGCGGTCGAGGTTCCCTCTGTCGGGCATTCCCCATCCCCCTACAATACGTTCCCGGCCTCCTCCCGAGAGTCTGATCCAACGTCTGCGTCAAAATCTGAAATCCAGCATCATGCGGAGGATCCACAGACTCGATCGGAGTCTCGGGAGGAAGTTGGGAGGCGGACTCTTGAAGAACCAACTGGCTCCTCTCCACCATCGTCGTCTGTTTAACATTACATAAAATATAAATTCAAAAATGCATATAAATTGAAAGTGTAACATAAGAATTAAAAATACATAATACTTACATGAGGGGACTCGGCCAACTCATCCCCAGGTCGAACATAAACGTCACCAAAGACGTCGATCTCTGGGTTTGCACTGGGACAAAAAGCCCTATGCCACAGTACCCCACGCGCCACCACACGCGCCGGCAGCGCGTGGGTGCCCTAAGAGATAACGATCCCCGGGAAATCCTACAAATTAAGGGGCAAGGTTCCTACCCTAGGTTTAAAACATCAATTGGAGCCACTTTTGTTCTCGGACCTACCCCGAAAAACGGACGGAAGTGGCCGGAATTTGAATTTCAAAACCGGCCGAAACCTAGGGTTTCAAATTGACTACCCTATGCACACAATCAATCAAATCCTACACAACCATCAGCTAGAGCATGAAAAATAGGCCAAAAGCATACCTCAATTGCCGGATTTGGTGCCCGGAGGAGAGAGAACAACGGCGGCGGAGATTCGGGCTAAACCGAGCAATTCACGGCGGCAGGATGGACGGCCACGGCGGAGAAGCTCCTGGGTTCGACGGTGGCGGCGGCAGGGTCTGATTTGGGGCGGATTAGGGGCTGAGGTCACGGCGGAGAGATTTGGGAGGTTTTAGGGTTAGGTTTCAGAATTTGGGGAAGAAGGAGAAGATCGCGATTTTCAGAAAACTTATTCGACTTTGCGCGACGAACATATATTTCCGTCGCGCAAACGTCATTAAAATAACCCTTGCGCGACGAAAACATTAACTTTTCGTCGCGCAATGTTATAAAATTGGACCTTTGCGCGACTAGAACAACAAATTTCGTCGCGCAAACGTGTGAACAGATATACCTTGCGCGACGAAAAAACTACTGTCGTCGCGCATACTTGTGCAGCCGCCCAAAATTTTGGGATTTGATTTTGCGCGGGAAAAAATCAATGCAATGCGATTGCGCGACGAATCCCAATTTCGTCGCGCATGCTAGCTGTTCCAAATAAAGGTTGCGCGACGCACTCTCTGTGATTCGTCGCGCAAACTGGCTTTTGATAAAAAATTTCACTAAGTGCTGGAGCGGAGAGGAGAGGGAAATTTTTTTATTGATTTTGCGCGACGAATGGACTAATATTCGTCGCGCAAACTGGCTTTTGATAAAAAAATTTCACTAAGTGCTGGAGCGGAGAGGAGAGGGAAATTTTTTATTGATTTTGCGCGACGAACGGACTGATATTCGTCGCGCAAACTGGCTTTTGATAAAAAAATTTCACTAAGTGCTGGAGCGGAGAGGAGAGGGAAATTTTTTTATTGATTTTGCGCGACGAATGAAATGTATTCGTCGCGCAAACTGGCATTGGATAAAAAAATTTCACTAAGTGCTGGAGCGGAGAGGAGAGGGAAATTTTTTTATTGATTTTGCGCGACGAATGGATTCTGTTTGTCGCATAAGGTTTGCGCGACGCGTAAGCTTCTATTCGTTGCGCAAAACCATACCCCAAACCCTAAAACCGGTACCCTAAGCCCTAAACCCGAACTCCTGAACTAGTTTCAATGATCCAACCGACAATCTTCTTTTTTCATAGTTCAAAATCGTATACGTCAAAAATCATAATGAATGAACATTCAGAGATTGAGTAACGGGACAAAACGTTTCGACGGTTGTAAACAAATTGTCCCGATTCAACGGTGATTTTAGCTCCGATCTTGAAAATTTTTTGCAGCTGCGGTTCTTGACCCTATATGAATACAGAGATTTAATTCGATCTTCAATTTCAGATATTTACAGTACAAGACATCACATAATCTTATATTAGACTGAAGGAATGTATAAAGAAATTATTCAGTTTTTATGAATATTGTGTTTTTATGGAATACGCATTCTAGGAAACTAGTTTCAGTAATCTAGCCGTCAAATATGTTTGTTTATACTTCGAGATCTTATACGTCAAAAATGAGAAAAAAAAACATTCAGAGCTCAAGTAACGGGACAAAACGTTTCGACGGTTATAAACGAAAAGTCATGATTCAACGGTTATTTTGACTCTGATTTTGATGATTTTTTAAAGCTATACTGTTTAACCCTATGTGAATACAGTGAACTACTTCGATCGTCAATTTCAACTATATACGTGTGTATAAATCAGAAATATATATATGTATATGTTTGCGCGACGGGGTTTCTTTTTCGTCGCGCTAAAGAGACTTGCGCGACGAAATTATTTGTCGCGCAAATGGTAGAGTATGCGCGACGTGTACATTATCCGTCGCGCAAAAATTGCGCGACAATTATGTCTTCGTCGCGCAAACCACATATTATTAATCTGAAGTATTCATCATTACATATAATTACTTGTATGAAAGTAAGATTTATTATATTTTCTTTCGATTTGAGAATGGAAGGATTGTTGTTAATCTTATGTTCTTTGTATTCATTTTTTCGGTTATATGGTTTTCATTTTTTTTAAAATTTTTTGTGAAAATAAATTTAAACTTTATGATACAAATTAGTTGGCTATATTTATTTACCAATGGTTTATAACTACAATTATTGTAATAATAATGTTTCACTTGGTATCATATATATTGTTTGGATATAACAAGTACATATATGAAAACATTTGCATTACACAAAATATGTCTAATAACATAATAAAATTACAATAAAAATTAATCATTCATCATCTGAACTATAATAACTTTCGTTATCGTTGCTATCATCACTTTCGGTCTCCCAATCCTCTTCCTCCTCCTCCTCCTCCGCCTCCTCTATAACTACATCATCGTCGTTGCTCGGGCCAACTGCAACATCATATCGCGGAAGATCACCGAGGTCAATTGTAATTGACTGAATCGGTATTTCGATTGAAGACACTCCTTGTATTTGAAATGGCTCTTGTATAACATTAGTATCTCGAAGTGTTTCCGCATCATTTTCCATTGAAGATTCTAAACGTTGGTCAGCTACATTGTTGACGTTGTTGTCAGTTGGGTCTAGTTCTGGTATAGCATACACGTTCCTGTGATCCATCTTTTGAACAACGTTCCAACCGCTTCCGGCTTTAGGGTCATCTAGATACACAATTTGTGTTGCCATGTTTGCCAAAATATAAGGGTCGTCATCATACCAAGTTCTGTTCATGTTCACAGATAGTAAGCCATGATCGATTTTAACACTTCCCGGCCTATTTGGGTTGGTGTCAAACCATCGACACTTAAACATGATCACTTGGTATCGATCTTTGTAAAGCAATTGCACGACAGTTGTGAGTTTGCCATAGAAATCAATGTCCGTACTTTCGCCTCCACCTGGGACATGGACACCGCTGTTTTGCGTACACAACTTGTCATCTCGTGCTTCGGCCAAAAATTTGACACCGTTGACATTACAACCCGAGAACAATTCAGCGCGAATCGGGCCAAACGCCAAGTTATATAACTCATCACTGTAAGTTGGGGAATTCGATGATTTCAACTTATTCACCTAATATTATACAAAACCATTCATATGTTAGTCGGACAAAATTTATTAAAAAAATTTATATTTCTCAAATAACAAACACTGATAACTTACAGAATCCAAAAACCATTGTGGAAACAATTTACGGTGTTTCTGGGCAACCAAATGTGATGGATGTTCTCGCTTCATCATCTCTTCATGCTCATATAAGTATCCCATGATCTCATCACAATTGTTCAGTACGAACCAATGCGCTACCTCCATGTCATTTCTAGAAAACGACTCTCCGCGTCCAGGATCTCCGAAGGGTCGTGCGCTTTGGGCAAAAACAGAAAGTTTTTCATTTCTCATACCTCCATCATGATTGCGCTGAGGACGATTGAAAACCGTCTCCACATCTTTTAAATACATTCCGCAGAAAGTAAGCGACTCATATTGAACCCAAGCCTCTACGATTGATCCTTCGGGCTTCGCCCTGTTGCGTACACTTTTTTTCAGCTCTCCGAGAAGCCTGCCAAAATAAAACGATATGATTGAAATTAGAAAGCATGTGATAATGATGCATACACAAATGATAAGGATTATATACCTTTCTATTGGATACATCCAGCGATAGTTGACAGGACCAGCAAGTAATGCCTCTTCTGGCAAGTGAACCATCACGTGCATCATACTTGTGAAGAAAGCTGGAGGAAATATCATCTCAAACTTGCATAGGACTTGGACAATGTCATGGCGCAACTGAAACATGTCCGTTTTTCGCAAAGTTTTCGCCGTCAGTTGGGAAAAAAATCTGGACAACAAAATGATTGGCTTCACTACATCTTCCGGCAATAGGTGTCGAATACCAACAGGAAGTAGGCGTTGCATAAACACATGACAGTCATGGCTTTTAAGTCCAGTAAATTTACCCCCGTCAACATTCACACAACGTGCGATATTAGAAGCATACCCATCGGGAAACTTTACTGACGATACAAACTTTAGAAACTCTTTCTTGTCATTCGGTTTCATAGAAAAGAATGCAAGATCCCTTCTAGCTTTATCATTGTCCCTATTCATCCATAAACCCCTTCGTATGCCCATTCTTTCCAAATCAAGACGAGCTTTGATCGTGTCCTTTGTCTTCCCCTCGATATCTAGAATCGTGCCCACCAATGTGTCGAATACATTTTTCTCAACATGCATCACATCTAGATTGTGCCTCAATTTTAGTTTCGACCAATATGGGAGCTCAAAAAACATAGGTTTGTGCGTCCAGTTCATATGTGTAGAAGGTCTGATACGACTAACTGTTTTCCCGAAGGGAGCAAAATCCAACCGGTTCAGCTGGTCCAATATCTCATCACCGGACCATTCTCTGGGTCTAAGGCGACGCTCAGTGTTCCCGTCGAACTCTTTATCTTTTTCCCTCCACTCATGGTCCCATGGCAACCATCTCCGATGACCAAGGTAACAAACTTTTCCAGCATGCCAACCAGAAGTTACATCTTCCTTGCATACAGGACATGCCATATAACCTTTTGTGCTCCACCCAGAAACCATTGCATATGCTGGGAAATCATTCACAGTCCACATAACTGCTGCCCGCAAAGTGAACATCTTCCCAGTTGATTTATCGTACGTGCGAACACCGTTTGTCCACAAATCCTTTAGCTCATCAACCAGCGGCCTTAAGTAAACATCGATTGACCTCCCAGGATCCTCAGTTATCAAAACAGTCATCATCATGTATTTTTTTTCATGCATTTCCAAGGCGGCAAATTATATGGGAATACGAAAATCGGCCAAGTGCTGTGGTGTTGGTTTAGAACCCCATACGGATTGAATCCGTCAGTGGCAAGTCCCAATCTAACATTTCGGGGATCAGCAGCAAACTCTGGGAACGTTCGATCGAACTCTTTCCATGCCTCCCCATCTGCAGGATGCCGCATCACATCATCGTCTACCCGTTTTTCCTGATGCCATCTCATGTCTGTGGCAGTATGCGTCGACATATACAATCGCTGCAACCTAGGTTTCAGGGGCAAATAACGCATGACTTTTTGTGGGATCTTAGTCGTCCTATTCTGAGATGTCATCTTGAACCTCGACTCATTGCATATAGGACATGTATCCAACGATTCATGCTCTTTGTAGAATAACATGCAATTGTTTTTGCAAGCATGGATTTTTTCATAACCCAATCCAAGACCATTCAACACCTTCTGCGCCTGTTTATGGTCTTTCGGCAAACAATTGTCCGTCGGAAGCATTCTCTTGAAAACCCCCAAAAAGTAATCGAAACACAGGTTCGACATACGATACTTTATTTTTCCGTGCATTAGCTCCACAATGGCCGTGAGAACGGAAAAGCTCTCGCACCCCGGGTATAACTCTTGGTTGGCATTTTTAACAATTTCTCATATTGTTCAAACTCCGCACTGTCTATTGGTGTAGGCACATCATCTTGCTCTTCTTGATTCATGTTGGTCGATGCAAATGGAAAAACATCCTGTATAATATCCATGACTTCATCATTAGCATCCACAATAGGTTGAACATTGTCCACTCTTGTGGCATTTGAAGACGAAGCATGCTCTAATTGTTCCCCGTGAAGGTTCCAAATGCTATATGTCTCAATCATTCCATTTCTTACTAAATGAAATCCAACATTTTCAATTGTCTCCCATAACGTGTTGTTGCACCTCCTACAAGGACAACGGATTCTAGTTGCACCCGGGTTGTGTCTACGTGCAAACTCAATAAAATCCTCGATTCCATCCAAGTATTCGTCTGCGCATCTGTTAGGGTTTTGTATCCACCTTCTGTCCATAATTCCTGAAACCAGAATCACAACACAACAATCACAACAACTTCATACGAAGTTATAATGTCACCTTATGCCTCCGGTAAGGGTCCTATCCCATTCGGGAATGCATACTCCTGCCACGTAACCTACGACTACATGAGATTAGATTTCGACGTGGATGAATTTCGCCAGCATCTCGCTACAGTTCTTGAGGTGGCCATAGGTATAAATACCTATGTACCACCCGAAGAACGTACCGAGATGACAACGAAATATCCACAATCGAAACCTAATCCTGTAGCCATAGATTACGTGACAACACTATGCATTACCAAACTGTCCAAATAATGGGACAATTCAAGAATTAATTGGACCGCAGTCATGCATTACGCATCCATGCACGAAATCCAACTAATCTCGAACGGGAAACTAAGTGTTACTAAACATAAAAATAAAAGCACGAAGTTAATTTCAATTAACTTCGTACATCACAACAGATTGTACTACGTTACGCACAACATAATATAAATATAACTTCACAAGAACATTTTAAACATATATAAAACAAATAAAATACCTTCTCAATCGTTCTCCACCAATCGCTAATTACAAATATCCCTAACGAAAACAAATTAAAAAACCTTAGTACGAACTTAAATTAATACTTTTAAACTAATGACGAAAAATACTTACCCAATCAATGTATTGAAATCCTAGCAGCAGCAGAGAGGTTGAGAGAGAGGCAGAGGCAGAATGCTTTGTTTTTGCATTCTGCCTCTGCAATGGCAGAATTCTAATATGAAGAAGAAGGACTTTGCGCGACGAACATACTTATTCGTCGCGCAAAGTCCCGTCGCAAAAAACCAAATTATTCGTCGCGCAAACCCTTTTTTTCGTCGCGCAAACACCTGCCGACATCTAACTTTTGCGCGACGCTGGTACTTTTCGTCGCGCAAACCTTCGTCGCGCAACATTGTCGCGCAAAAGCATAATTCCGTCGCGCAAAACAAGGTATTCGTCGCGTAAACGTTGAACTTTACGCGACGAAACGTCAGTACGTCGCGCAAAAAAAAATTATCCCACCCAGGTCATTTTTGGCGCCAAAAAATAAAATATCTCTTGTTCTCTTACGCGACGAAACGTCTTTCCGTCGCGCTAAATCAGGGGACTGTCCTATTTGCGCGACGGATAATTTGTTCGTCGCGCAATGTTGCCTTCAGCGACGATATTTCTCGTCGCGCAAATGTTTCGCGCTAAAAAAATTCCCCGCTCTTTTTTAACTCAGTTTGCGCGACGAAAAATGTTTTTTGTCGCGCATATACATTTTGCGCGACGAAATAGTTTGGTGGCGCAAATTTTCAGTGCATTGCGCGACGAAAATGTATTTTCGTCGCGCAATGATTGTTTGCGCGACGAGTTGATCTTCGTCGCGCAATGTTTCGTCGCGCAAATAGTGAAACGTAGTAGTGTTTTCCAACATTGGCAGCAGAGAAAATACAAACTAAACTAAGAGCTGGTTCTTTTCTATTGCAGTAATTAAAAATGAATTTGCATATGCAAGTAGCAACTAAACCCAAAGATACAATGACAGCTGTAAATTGTAATGCGTCAAACTACCAGAGAATACGTAGAATTATATAATTCGTACAATCTCTTATTATATGAGCTGTTTTTTTTTGGGTACAAGGGTACTTGTGACAAAAGAAAATCTTTTATTATTGGGAACTACAACTTATTGTCACAATAAACTTATCTACTTGTGACAAAAGAGAACGCGAGAACTTACAACTCAAATTTGGTCATGTGAAGGGCGGGACTCCGAAGAGACCTGGAAGCCTTGTAGATACTTTTATCTTTGCCATGTTTAATGAGGATAAAAAACAACAGGGCCGGAGACTGAGAAACACAGGGGCTCTTTTCCCCAACAAAACTGTTATAAAAAATATATTAGTTTGTGGTATGTGATATTTTGATAGTGTATTGTGGTTGTTCAAACGTGAAGGAAGAGTGACCTTTTATAGGCACCCAAGAACATGTAACCTTCACCACAATAAACCATAAAATTAAGACATTCAATATAGAAATAATACCTGAAAATTAAATATGTATAACCCCCACAATAAATAAAATAAAACAGCCAAAAAAATTAAATAAAAACGGTCAAATTTTTAAAACCTTTTTAAAATTCCAACAAACTCCTAAATATTCCATTGATTTCAATTAAGAATGTGAACTCTAGTGTATCCTTAGATCAAGGAGCTTTCGTATGGAATTTAACCATAAATAAAAGATTACTTGCATCCCTAGAAAGGAAATCGCAAGAGTTTATGTATCTGTCCAAAGATAAATGTCAATACAATGGCATGTTGCAAGGATAGCGATTTTACCATATTTGATTACTTTTTATAGCACAAGTTTATGTATTGCAGTATTTTCTTTTAAATGGATTTGAATTCAGAATCTTTTTCAATATTGTGAGAGAAATGCTAAAATATGCGAACTATGAGAGAATATTTGTTTGTGGGAATTTTCAATGTATTCTTCTCCTTGTAGGAGGTCATATTTATAATTCAACGAAAACTGAATGGGCAAGTAAATAATAAATTCTTATTTCTATTTACAGTAGGAAATCATGAATTAAAGTAAATCAAATATAATTATAATAGGAATCCTTGGTGTGTAAGGAAAGAAAGTCAATGGTCCACAAGTCACGCCAACACTCCCCCTCATGTTGGTGCATAGATGTCACCAATGCCCAACTAGTCCAGTGAATTGTGGAACGCTTCATTAGAAATTGCTTTTGTCCAAATATCAGCCAATTAATCCTCGGACTTTACGAAAGGAAAATGAATCACTTTAGCTTCGAGCTTCTGTTTGATATAGGGTCAATCTACCTCAACATGTTTGGTGCGATCATGTTGAATTAGATTCTATGCAATAGCTATTGCAACCTTGTTGTCACAAAAGAGATTCATTACAGATGTAGGTCTATACCCAAGTTCAGTAAGCAACCTATTTAACCAAATGAGTTCACAAATTCCTTTGGTCATACCTTTGAACTCGGCTTCTGCACTAGATAAGGCGACCACCTTTTGTTTCTTGCTTCTCCATGTAACCAAATTACCTCCCACGAATGTGAAGTAACCGAATGTGGATTTCCTATATATTATATATCCTGCCCAATCTGCATATATGTAACCATCAATATTTAGATGACCATGTTTTGAGAACATAAGTCCTTTTTTGGGTGCAGACTTCAAATATCTAAGTATCCGAATAACTGCATTCATGTGGTTTTCACTTGGAGAATGCATAAATTAACCAACGACGCTCACCACATAAGCAATGTCTAGCCTATTATGAGACAAGTAGATCAATCTTCCCACTAACCTTTGGTATCTTTCTTTGTTAGTTGGAATTTGATCCAGGTATTCTCCAATATGATGATTCTGAACAATAGTCTATAGGTTTGCAATCTAGAATTCCTTTGAGAGAGAAATATGCCTCATTATGATCGAGCCACCTCAATCCCCAAGAAATATTTGAGTCCACCTAGATTCTTCATCTCAAATTTAGTAGCCAAATAGTCTTGTAGCTGAGATATTTCATGTTTATCATTCCTAGTAATAATCATGTCGTCAACATAGATTATTAAAGTTGTTACCTTCCTTTTTTGATGTTTCAAGAACAAAGTATGATCTGAGTTACTCTGCTTGAAACCATTATTCTTCATTGTCATGGTGAACCATCCAAACCATGCACATGGTGACTGTTTCAGTCCATACAACGCCTTTCGTAATTTTCATATTGTTTCAGTCTAAGTAGTATTATATCCAGGAGGAATGTCCATATACACCTCCTCCGCGAGTTCTCCATGTAGGAAGACATTCTTTACATCTCAAACTGGTGTAGTGGCCAGTCTAAATTAGCTGCGAGAGATAATAAGACTCTGACTGTGTTCAATTTTGCAACTAGGGCAAAGGTTTCTTCATAATATATGCCATAAGTCCGTGTGTACCCTTTCGTCACAAGTCTTGCCTTGTATCGCTCGATAGATCCATTAGCGTTGTGTTTTATGTTAAACACTCATCTACATCTGAGAGTCTTTTTTCCTTGTGGTAAAGTTTCTAGTGTCAAAGTCTAATTCTTCTCAAGAGATTTTTTATAGCTTGAACCCACCTAGGATCTTTAAACGCTTCAGCAATCTTAGTTGAGATATCAATAGCAGACAACTGATGCACAAAGGCCTTAAGTGGTTCTGACAACTTTTCAGTGGATACATGATTCGTAATTGGATACTTTGAAGTCTTGCCAATATAAGGTGAATAACGATTCGGTGGCTTTCCACGATTATGCTTGAAAGGTAATTGATATTCAATAGATTTATACTCTAAATTCACAAGTGTAGTAGGAGTAGTTACCTCAAGGATATTCTTAGGAGATTAATCTGTTGGTACTGTTGAGTTAGATGGATGGTCTTCATCTTTGTTCTGTATTGTCTGTAGGTGTGGGACTCGGATCAGAAATATTTTTGTAGGGATCAGGTGGGTCAGAAAATTGATCGTTATGAATGGGCGATTGATCGCTTTTCAGCAGAGAGCTCATGCTGCAGACTCGGAATTATCGATCATTTCTGTACATAGGAGAATTTTTTCATTTTCCAAGTTGCTCCAATTCTGCTCTTCACTTCGTATGTCCCCTTGAAGTGTAGAATTGGATGATAGGTCATGGAAGAATAGCTCAGATTCTAGAAAGGTAAGATCCAAAGTGACATAGGTACGTCGGGTAGGAGGGTGATAACAGCGGTAGCCATTTTGATGAGTGACATAACCCAAAAAACACAACGAAGTGCATAGGGATCAAGTTTGCTACGTTGATTTTTGTGGAGATGAATGAAGGCACACGTCTAAAGATTCGGGGTATGAGTACCAAAACAGAAGGGAGGGATCTATGTTGCACAAGCACTTGTAAGGGAGTTTTAAAAGTCAATACACAAGAAGGCATTCGGTTGATCAGGTGAACTG